TGAACGAAGGGGGAGGGGGGTTATGGCCCAGGGGCCACTAGAGAAAATTTTCGAATTTTGAATCTAATATGCAGTTTGGGTCAATTTCGTCGTGTACATTATCGCTTTCCCTTCTTCTTTCCTCTGTTCCCTCCTTTCTCTTTTTCTTCCTTTTTTTCGGGCGAATGGAAAGAAAGTACACTCCCTACGCCGTCTCCCTCCTCAGATTGCACCTACACTCCCTACGCCGTCTCCCTCTTCAGATTGCACCTATGTTAAAAAATTAATTTTATTCTCCAATTTTCACATCTTTCAGCTTTCTCTTTTACTTCCTGAAAAAGTAAGGGAGATGACAGGCTTGTCTTACATAACTCAAAAATTCCAATGAAGCTTACATGAATACCTTTCATTTTAACGCAACCTTCATGAACATTTTGGAAAATTCCAATGTAGTTTACATGAAAACTTCGCAAAATCAATTTAGCTTACATGAAAACTCTGGGTAATTTCAACGTAGTTTTTATGAAGATTTTGAAAAATCCCAATGTAGTTTTCATGAAAACTTGGGAACATTATAATTTAGCTTTCATGAAAATTTAGAAAGTTGCAATGTAGTTTTCTGGTATATTTTAAAGACTTCTAGTGCAGTCTTCATGAGAAGTTTGCAAGATTCCAGTGTGGTTTTCATGAAAATTTTGGAAAATTCCAATGCCGTTTCCATGAAAATTTAAGAAAATTGCAACTTATTTTCCCGGTAAATTTTGGAAAATTCCCATCATTTCCACCGGTCTTGTGGACGAATCTCCACTCCCTGGTGGATAATTTCCAGGTGTGGCATCACCGTTTTCACCTCGGTCGCGTCTCGGGTCCCGAGACTGAGAGATCCCCCCCCCCGCCTGTCCCGGCCCTCGTCCTTCTCCGTCACTCTTCCCTTTAACCGAACCAGCATCCCGCCCAAGAACCACCTAACTCCAACCGCCACGCACTGGGACTTAAGCGATTCTAGCTAGCATCTCCCTCGCGTCTTAATAAGTTTTCCATGTTCGCTTGTCTCCGTTCCTCGCTCTTTGTTTCGCTGCCTGATTATTTTTTAAGAGGCTTGCGACTCTTTTTCGGTGACACAACTGCATGCTCGCCCCGGACCAAAACCACCCAACCCCTTATTAAAACCACACCCTGATACGTGGTTTTTAACGAGGCGCGGGTGACACCCGCACCGGTTTCCCCGGGCTGAAGAGTGATTATCTCGCATTTTACAACGCGTCTGACAAATCTCGAATTAATTTCCAGCTCCGGAGCCTTACTCCATTGTCGTCGTCGAGGGGGTGGGAGGGGGGCTTTACTCCAAATTAGGGCCGGCACGCGGGAAAAGTAATCGCGGAGAAATAATCTTGATTATTAATTTTTTTTCTTTTCCGATGAATGATCGTCGATGGCCCGATCCTCGGGTCCGAGAGCTAATCCGGCGGACGGGCCTTTGATCAAGTGTCTGCGCCGGACGACCCCGCTGCGCCGGCCGCGAAGATCGGCCGAGTCGGATTAGAGTTGTCATAATAGTGAAGCGGCCGTCGCGACGCGGTGAAGGGTTCGCGCGAAGCCGTGCTGGTGGAGTCGGTCGCGAAAGTTTGACGGACGTTTGGCGTGACCCGAAAAAGCTCATCGTCGTTCATCTACTTGATCATATAACACGTGGATAGGGAGGGTATGGACACTGGGACCGAATTTTTTCGGGTGCACGGAGTGCAACATCCATCGATGAGTCCAAACCGCACCACCAACCAATCAGAAGCGCTAAGTTGGACTTAAGTGCAGTCGAGACCCGTCCTGAGTATATTTAAGTACGGTGGAAGGACCGACAAAATGCAGCTCCTGGGTCTCATTGAGACCCCTAGGATATAAGAAATGGCGGCGACCCTAGGTGGAGTTGGATACAAAGGAGCTGTTGCCAAACTATGACGTTTATTACCAACTCTGCCGCGCTGAGGAAGAACGCCGTAAGAACATTCGAGAGTTGCCAAATTTCCCTTGAAAAAACAAGTATTCTTGAACAAATTCGTGCATATTTTTGCTTACAGTTTTCTGATATTTCAGATTAAATTTCGTAAAATTCTGAAAATCTTGGAAAACAATATTCGCAATTCCCCTAGTAAATTCGGTTTTTATCGGAGGAGACCTGGCAACGTTTAACGGCAATGCCAAGTTTCCTTTCAGAAAAAACCGAATTTACTAAGAAAATTGTGGATGTTTTTCCTCACAGTTTTCATTAAATTGTGTTTACTGTATCTTGAATGTTCATACAGCGTTTTTTCTTAGCACGACAGCATTGCTCAGTGACAAATCCAGCAATTTGGCAACACTCGAAGTACTTCATTTAAATCCATTAAATATATCTATTCTAGGTGAGATATGCTGTCTCACGTAGAATCGATTAATTAACGTAGATTTAAATGGTTAAAAAACAGTATTGCCAACTTGCATGAACCGACTGCCATTGCTCATGAGAGGACGCGCGGAATGGGTTTAGAGGTTAAGTGCACTCACGTGGAGATATCCTCCTGATTCCATGAATGTAACTCGGGTGACACACACAGGGCGAAAAAAATCAAACAAAATCGAGGAAAGAGAAAACAATCTGAGTGTAAGCAGGGACCAAAAAAGGAAACAAGTCCTGGTTTCAAAACTTGATGAATTTTAATGATCGGATCTCGAATGGCGTCTGACCCGCACGAACGCCTTTTGCTGAGATTTTAAGCTAAATGGACGCCCGAAGAACGTATACATTCTCGCTACCGATTATCGTAACACATGGAGGAAGAAAATCGAAGAAAATACATCAGGATTTTACAGAACCAGACGGAGATCAGAATTATCCTCGTTAAAAGGAAGTTAAACCAGTGATAGACTAACCGTGAGCATCAAATGATTCCTCATTTCCTTCAATGATAGAAGTATCACTGATCACTATCATTTATTTTGGGGATATTATTGAAAGTGAATGTAACTCCACAAGTAAGGAGATTTTGTGTCTCGTATATTCGTATTTGACCATAAATTAAACTTCATTATGAATTTGGGAACTATAAATTCTGCCTCGGTTTAAAAGCCACGTATGTGCCCTCGTTTTCCTATACACGTGAGTATTTGTGCAGCTGAGCCAGAAATTATAATTCCTAGTTGCAAAATGGAGTCCAATTATGATGCAGGTTTTAACCCCACAAATTGTGTTTGCTTTCAAACCCAACGTCAAAGAAAAAAATAATCGAGTGGTGTCAAAAAGTGCATTAGCATTATTCCGCTCATTTTGTGAAGCACGAATTCGATAACATTTTTAAAAGAAAAAAACTAGAATTTTCCAAAATTTGCTTTGATTATTGGTTATGATGCATCAAATAATGAGTAAACGACGCACGATGGATCAAGCTGATGGAAGAGGTCGGACATGGAATTTTTGACCAAAACTGCAAATTTTTATGTTTATTTCGTCAAATTTTAAATCAGAGGTGTTTCTGGGAAAAAAATACGAGAAAACCAATGTACCCACTTTTAAAGCCTTAATGTTTTATACAAACGGACTTATAAGCTTCTAAAGTCTCCATATTTAGTCCGACTTCGCCTATTGACTCGTTCCAATGAGCGACGCACAGTGGATCAAGTCAATAATTAGAGAGGTCTGACACGGAATTTTCGATCAAAACTGGAAATTTTGATGATTCTCCCGTCACATTTTAAAGTTCAAGGGGTGCTTTGAGAAGAAAATTTTACGCGAAAACCAACGGAACCGCTTTCAGAACCTCAAAGTTTTCTACAAACGGAGTTATAACCATTTACAGTTTTCAAAGTTCGTCCGACCTCGCCCATTGACTGAAAAAAAACTCCCGGCGTTTTTACCAAGGTCCGTTGGTACCTTTACCATCCACTTTTTTACCAATTATTGGTAATTTTACCAAGACAGACTGGTAAGCTTACCAAAAACCGGTATTCTTACTGTTTTTTTTTTCAGATAAGAATACCACTTTTATTGGTAATCAATTCCCGGTAACTTGACCATTTTATCTCGGTAATTCTACCACAGTCGATTAAAAATATTGGCGTTTTTACCAAGGCCCAGTAAAATTACCGAGAAAGTTCAATAATTTTACCGAGATTTCTCAGTAAAATTACCAATCCCATAAATGGTAATTTTACCAAGAAAAAACTGGGATCAAATAGAACCCCGAATTCTTGGTAATTTTACCCTTTCCTTGGTAAATACACCGAGATTTTTTTTTCAGTGGAGTTTAAACCGTTTAAAGTTTCCAAAGTTCGTCCGACCTCGCCCATTGACTCGGTCCAATGTGCTACGGATGAATCACATGAAATATTTACATACCTTTGTGGGGCATTTTCCAGAAGGCGTCCACGGAGGGGGCGTGACCCACCCCCACGCCTGGTGCCAGCAACGTTTTGCCGATCTGGTTTTTGCCCCCCGCCAACTCCCGGACACCTCAAAACGTCTGCCAACAAAACAAAAGAAAACAGATAATCGGTTAAACAGATCTTATCGGGTTAACAAGTCATTAAGCACACTCTTGGAAAATTTTTACAGCATAACACATAAGTTTTTGTCAGACAACGCCGGCTAAACACATCATGATCCATAGTTTAAATGGTCGCTGAGCAACTGTGCGGACGGTGACAAGTTTTCACGATATCTAAGAAGACTTAAACGCAAGGTTAGAAAAGGGCACTAAATTTCGATTGCCGTGCTAAGGAAATATGTCGTATGAAAACGGACGTTGTCAAAGTTCAAGCGGTAAAATATGCATCTTTGTGCACGGGTATGATGTCTCTCCTTGAAATTTCCAGATTTTTTGGACTGAAAATAAAATAAAACTACGTTGAATGTAAGGAGAAACTGATTTTTTCCAGTGGGAAATTTAGCTACGTCGGAATGTTCATACGGCGTTTTAACTTAGCATGGCAGTACATAAAATCAACAGGGCTCACTTTACACAAGGAGAGGTAAACATTATGCATTATTAACATGCCATAAAAATTGAGAATCGTTTGTTTCGTAATCAAATATCACTTGTATCCTAAGGTCAAAAAGTAAAGGACTGAACCTTAAATTTTGGAAGAATAGACATTTAACGTATCTATCGAGTTTAAAACGTTTATACTTTATGTCTGTGGTAAGAATACAAGCATAAGCCCTGGAATGGAACGGTGTAACATTTCCTTCCATGCAACGCAAATTTTATGGGGAACTTGCAAATATTTTTCCTCCGATTCCTCAGGGAATTTTACTCGCCATTCGTTCGAAAGTATCGGATTATTGAAAAGGAAAAGGTTTTTTCAATTTATTGGCTTAGGCGTTTCTGTGCTCTCGGCATGAATCGGGTCAGGAATGAGGTCCAGCCAGAGATCAACGAGATTTTCCTGTAGCCTCACCAGATTAGAAAACCAATTCATCGTTGAATCGTTTTCCTGCCCAGTAGGTTGAGGCGCATAACTAACAATAATAAAATCAATCGACACGAGTAGATGTACACGTCAGTGGCGTAGCGTGCTTTGCGATATATCGATTGATCTACCAATTGAGCCTATGAAAAAGAATCGATAGATAGGGTGTTCCCAGCGAACACCTTGATAAATCGATTCTTTACTATATAGCTTCAAATGGGGAAATATCTATAATCGATCATTCACGCCAAACCACTGGTACACATTATACTATTGGAGATATTTCAAATGCATTAAATACATCCTTATTTTTACGATGAAGTAAACAAACATCGTGTTAAATTTCAGGCATTTTTAGGCTCTATTAATCATAAAATAATAAATTGGGGATTCAAAACACTTTGATGGAGTTTAAATTTTGGAAATCAATTACACTGGAAAAAAAAAACATTGGATCTAGAGTCCAGACTCTTAAAAACATCGACAAAAAAAAGTACTCTTGATTCAATCAGAATCTAGCTTAGATCAAGAATCAAGCCTCTTAATTTAAGCGGATTTCGTTTTGATTCAAGCAAAAATCCGATTGAATCAAGAGTATTTTTTCTAGTCGATGTTTTTAAGAGTCTGAACTCTAGATCCAATGTGGTTTTTTTTCCCAGTGCACTGAAAAAAAAGTAGCTTGGATCAAGCATGATGATTCTTGAATTTGCCGCCAAGAATTTTTTTTTTCTTGCTTTAAGCTGACTTTTTCTTGATACAAGAAAAATAATGCTTAGGTTAAGCAAGAAAGTAGCTTATATTAACCAGCCTTGATATTTAAGAAGAAATACTCCTTGGCGGCAAATTTAAGATTCTTTTCTTTCCAGTGTGAATTAGCGAAATAGTTTTTGTGTAAAACTAGATGAAATTAAACTTGCGTTCCGACAACAATGTTCACCGAAGCCAGGGACCCAAACAGCGATGACTAATGCAATTAGTCAAGAAAAAGATCATTAAAAGATTCATTAAAAACAGATCAAAAGCCTCAATTGTCACCGAACAGGCGGAGAGAAAACACAGAAACCCCGAGCTGGTGGTGAAGACATAGTCCGCTGCCCTCCAACCCCTTCCAGGGGGCGAGAAGGGGGTTCATTCCGTCGAGGGAGGGGGTTGTCTTTGCCTTCTTTACATTTTTGTCCCCGGCTGGCTTCGTTAAGCACCGCTATGCGAGGCCCTTGAGAACGGGTTGTTAAGTAAATGAAGTCGCGGCGTTTTCCCCCCAATCATACGCGCTTATTTCAGGCATTTCCTCTTTGAACGCTCAGGACTCAACACGGTTTAGTTCTATTCCTTATGTTCCCTGTCATCCCAACCCCCTCCCCCCTTCTCTCATCCCCACTTGTCCTTACACTCGTATTCGACCTGTTAAGAAATGAAACGGAGAAATGTCCTCCATGCTGTGATGTTTGTTCTTGGCGTAATGAGGGAAGGAGGGTTTAATGCACGTATTAGATATAGGAAGGGTGGAAATATGGAAAAAAAAAACGATGGCCGAGATGGATTTTTTTTTTTTACATGTGCGTCGGTAGTCATTTAAGGAGCTCCAATGCCATCTGAAATGCTTCCCTGATAAGATAGAGAGGCCGATTTTCAAGTCAACAACGCATTATAATGTCAAGTTGAGCCGAGTTTGTTTTTTTTTTTTTTTTTTTTTTTTTTTTCATATTTGGGATACAAGGGGCCTGATTGCAAAATAATTTTTTTTTTTTTCATTTCTCAGATGGAAACTTTTGTTTCTAAATTTTAATTGTAATAAACTATCCGTGGTCTATTTGCCTATTTCTATCCAAAGAAAGTCAAGTTTGCTGAATTTGTTTGTTTGTTTTTGGTTTTTTTCCCTTTCCTTTGAATCTACTCGGTTCCTTTTTCCGGAATTAAAAAAAAAAACCGAATTAATTCAGAGAGAGGATGAGGATACCAAGTGTACGGTTGGTTTCATCCTAGATTTATCCCATCACTGGAAAAAGTATTATGGACCCAGACTCAAAGAAATGCTTTCGATTCAATAAGATTTTTCTTGAATTAAAAGTACGGCTTGGCTCCCAATTCAATCAAAAATCTGACTGAATCAAGAGTGACATTTCTTGTCAAATTTTTTTAAGGGTCTAGACTCTGGGTACAAGAGATTTTTTTGCTGCAGTGATCGGTCGTATCAAGTAAAAGAGCGGAACCAACTGCATAAAGAGCAATGTCAAATTTCTTCGAAGCAATACCATAGATATACCGTTACGTCTCTTGTATTCCGAACATAACTATTTTCCTCTCTGTTGAAGAATCGATCCATTTTTTTTTCAGTGCAAATACAGTCACAAAAATATATCAAACTTATTTGTACATACTCCCTACTACGCATACCAAAGGGTAAAAGCACGCGCCGTGCTTACGTCACGAGAAACCTGGCGAAAAAGCGGTAGCCCTCTGACCGCCAAACAGTCGAATTAAAAACACAGCGCAGAAAATCGGGGATTTCGGGCGCTTGGGGATTAAGAGGGGTGCACTCGGGTGGAGAATGGCGGGCGGTGCAAGCGCTGGAGCCTTAAGTGGGGCTATGGGTCTCGAGGGACATTTCGGCTTGGCGCAACCCTCCACAATGATGAAGTCTCCTAGGTCGCTCCATTTTCTACCCACTGGAGCAGGGTGGCTGAGGTTTTTCTCGGTTGGGTTTTAAATGCTCCTGTTCCGATAAATTACTCAAAAGCCGCCGACCGTTGCCAGCTTTCATAGTTTTTCTCACGAAAAAACGTAACTAAATTTCAATGTTGCCAGATTTTTCTGCGCAAATTGCATCTTTACCAGTAAAATTTTAGGAATTTTTGACTGAAAATTTCACTGATTTTTCCACCGATCTGATGCAATCACCGCACAAATTTTCGACGAAAATTATTCAGGTTTAATCTAGTAAAAAATTTAATTCTTTTAGTCCACTTTGCAACCTTGGACTCAAGTTACGTTCCTCCGTACGGGAAATGACGATTTAACGGATTTGCTAAAACTTCATACAAGCACTCCTTCTCAAAAGAAAGAAAAAGCGTTTATAATGCCTTCTTAGGCTCAGATATAGGCCAAAAATTGTATGTGCTCGAAAAATGTCTTTGACTAACAAAATATTACAAAAATATCTAATTACAATGACTCCCATGGACTTCGGGGGAATCACACTAGAGGTTATCGAATGTTACCTAATTTGCTGCGATTGTTTTATTTATTTATTTATTTTTTTAACGGAGATTCAAACAACATTAAAACATGAAAATTTGTACGTTTCTTCTCAAAAAGTGTATATTTAAAAGTTTTAAATTTCATTCTGTAAAAAAATAATAAATAAATAAAACAGAAAAGATCATTATGCAACACGAAATAGAGTTGCATATATTCCAGTTTAACCTGTCCCATTGAGATTCTATTTAATTTTCAGAGGTGCATATTGCAATAAATTACATTATGAACCTAAAATTTGATTTTTTTTTTTGCTTTAAAAAAAAGTTAAAAGCTCAAAGATATGGTAAGTTTTAGCTGAGGAGTACTAGTTTCCTGCGGGGCGATTATTGAAACTGATAGACAAAGCGATAGACAAAGATGACATAGGGGGTATAAAGCAATTCTATTGGTTGAAATGGGTGGTTCTCATCAACTAAGGGGGAAAATGATAGACTAACTGTCGGGTTTCTCGTGGGTTTCCGTTACTTAGTCGATAACCTACCTCCTTTGTCCATTGCAACAACCCGTTTCCACCAATAGGATCCCTCCAAATCCCTTTTGTCGTCTTTGTCTATCGCTTTATCTATCAGTTTCAATAATCGGTCCGCTGATTAGCTTGTTACAATTTGCCGCTTTGGACGGGTGTCTCCGCATTTAAACGATGCGAAATCGATTCACCGTATGGATTTTATTTTTTTCAAAAATACATTCGGGCAATTTCTGCATAAAATGTTGCTCATCTTGCATGTAAATACGGGAATATTCAGCAAAGTCTTCAGGCAAAAACACCCAACGGTTTCCCAGAAACAGAACA